CCACCACCACAGCCACCATCACCATCATGCCCGCGGCTCCATGGTGCCAGCGGCCGTGCCTCGGCTGGTGCCCGAGACGGGCGGCACCCTGCTGGGGGGCATGGCCCAGATCACGCCCTCCCTCTTCCTGAGCCGCGGCAATGTGGCGTCTAACCGCAGCCTGCTGCTGTCCAAGGGCATCACCTGCGTGGTCAATGCCACCATTGAGCTGCCCAACTTTAATTGGCCGCACGTGGAGTACGTCAAGGTGCCGCTGGCCGACATGCCGCACTCTCCCATCTCGCTTTACTTCGACAGCGTCGCCGACAAGATCCACAGCGTGGGCCGCAAGCGGGGCGCCGTGCTGGTGCACTGTGCCGCCGGCGTCAGCCGCTCGGCCTCGCTCTGCCTGGCATACCTCATGAAGTACCACCGCGTGTCCCTGGCCGAGGCCCACGCCTGGGTCAAGGCCCGCCGGCCCGTCATCCGGCCTAACGGCGGCTTCTGGCGCCAGCTCATCGAGTACGAGCGCAAGCTTTTCGGCAGGAACTCAGTCAAGATGGTGCAGACGCCCTACGGGGTCGTGCCGGACGTCTACGAACGGGACCACAGGAGTCTGGCCCCCTACTGGGGCATGTAGGGAATGACGGCCTAACTCGCTGCTTGGTGGGTGGTCTTCCGAACTGTCTCCGCCCTCCTCTGTCTCAAACTCCACCCCTTCTGTGTTGCCCACCTCTCCAATAGAACATGTGCACCTTTCAGAAAGGCATCCAGCAGCGTTGAGTGTGAGGGAGGCTACTTTTGGTCCTTCTGAACAACGCCCCCCCCCCCTCCGTTTGTGCAGGCGGGTGGCAACGACCCACCTCACCTCAAACTGCCCTCAGGGGCCTCACTCAGTAAGGCCCGCCTTTCCTGACTGGGTGGTGGGACTCAACCCAGCATCATGTGATGGTTTTGTGACAGTCTTGCTATGGTGTTTTAGTGTTTGGGACAAACATACGTTAATTAAAGTTGAATGAATGAAAGTTACAACGATGAATGATTCACATGTTACATTTATATAGTGCTTTACAGAACCAATGGGGAGCCACCACCACCACCACCGAGTTGCACCCAACTGGATGATGCAACAGCAGCCATTGTGTGCCAGTACAAGAGAGAAGGGTTGGGGGGTGGCCTGGTGGTGTAGTGGTTAGCACTGTTGCCTCACACCTCTGGGACCAGGGTTCAAGTCCCTGCCATGACTGGATGCAGCTCTGCTCCAGCTAGGCCCCAGCCCCCCCCAATAAGACAGTTGAAGAAGATGGACATAACAAATGAGTAGAGGGGGAGGGCACAAAGGGTAATTTTGGCAATCTGTGAAGCATAATAATTTTGGCCTTATCAAAAGACACCCATCAAAGACCTGCCACTTCACAGCCCAACCAAACCCCTGCAGCACAGCATCCCCATCACTGCACTGGGCTCCATAGGTCTCCCATCCAAGTAGTGGCCAGGCCCAAACCTGCTTAGCTTCAGATGGATCAGCCAACCTGAACTGCAGGAGCTATGGCTGCTAACAAGCAGAACTCCTCTCTTCAACATGATATGCCTACAGTCAGACAGCAGTATGTAAAGTGCTGCATGCAGAATCCAGCAGAGAGCTGCAGGAAATCCCACTTAGAACTGTCAAACAATACGTATGGTTGAATACGGCAGACCTTAAACCAAACCGTGTACTGCTGTAAGTGCTCGTAGTCACATGGTGAAGCGTCTGCTTACTGGTCTCTCCAGTAAGGGGTGGTGCACCTGTAGCTGCTTGGGTGCAGTGTTTCACTGCTATGAAGGTAAAGGTGGGGCAGCCGTGCTGGCTGGATGGAGTGGGGGGCTGTGGCCCTGAGGGGACCCACTGTCTGAGCTGGCTGGGGGGCCCCTAATTAAGTGAGCTGTCATTAAATACTCAATATTTAAAGCACAAGTGAGTCAAGCCGTCGTGAGGAAGGAAATCTGCTCTTTTTGGCTTGTTTGTGCCTCTCAGAACTGAACAATGTGTTTGTCAAAAATCAGCTGTAACAAACTGCTTCTTCAGGCTTGTTGTTCTTGAGGCAGACATACCTCTGGGGCACGTTCCAGATGGCAATTATCCCGAGGAGCCCAGATTGTGCCGTGGTGGAGCCGAGCAGGACCCCCTAACCCTTATAGGACACCCCCCCCTAAGGTTCAAATATAAAACAAAAAATAAAAAGCAAATCTATTTTTTAGACTAAATGTTACTGTAGCGAGAGCTCAGCACATGGACAGTTCTGAGTGACATGGGCCACGGCGGACTGGTACTGCACCTGCACTCAAGGAGATCTCTGTGTTCAGAATTCATAGCAAAATAAAGACTTTACCGTTTATTTTATCACCATCAGCTGTGCGCCTCTGTTTCCAGTCTGAATCCCCCGATGTACAGGCGGCCTGTCATGCTGGTCAGGAGGAAGCCCGCGTTGGGTACCCTGTACCCATCTATACACTCTTTTATTAAAAAAGGATCATTTCAACACAAAGACCACAGCACCTTTGTCACTGTGTAACTATAGGCAGATGCAGAGAGGGAGGGAGGCCAGAGGTGGAGAGAACAAGGAGAGGCACAGGGGGGAGCATGGGGCTGGGTGTGGCATCGGCAGGCATGAGAGGAGGGGGAGAGGAGGTCAGAGCACGAAGAGACGGTTAGGGCAGGGTGTGGACAGGCAGGAGGGAGAAGAAAATGTATAATAGACTATGATGTGAAGTGTAAAGTTTTAAGTGATTGTGGTCACAGCTGTGCCACGTGCAAGCAAGGGATGGTCAGGCTGGGCGGGGGCCAATCCGTCACAAGCCAGCGGGCACTAGCGTCACCACAGATGGCGTGGGCATTTTTCACAGCACGTTCGCTAAGGAAAACAATTCAGAGCGGAGAAATTTAACTCTGTGGAACTAGAATTGTAGTTTTCAAGATCAAAGGATTTTATTTAAGCCGCAGTGAAGGGTGACTGACGACTATACTCAGTTTTATTTGTGTAGAGTATGTTGATGGCGGACTGCCTGCCTCAGGAAGATAGGAAGCTATAATAGAGTAAGACAGGGCCTGGAGATCCTCCACCAAAAACCTGTGGGATAAGGAGGCTCAGCAAGCAGGCCGTCATGCAGGAAACGTGATATCGTCACGGCAACCTCATCAGCGCCTATACTAAGCCTTCCTCTGGGTGACGGGTGCCAGGCAGGAACAGTAATGGTGACGCGTTAAACGAGACAAAATAAGAATATCAGACAGACAGACGCGGCTTTCAAAAGCGATCAGTCGATAGTGCAGGAAACGAGAAAAGATTCGCACTGCGCGACAGCAAATGAAAGGTACAGTAACCTTGGTAACAGTCGCCAAGGGCAGTGGTGCCGCCAGTGATGAATATTAACACTGAATCGGTGCCCAGGCTCGGAGATCAACTGCCAGTGACAGAAGGGGGGAATCTGACGGAGACAAACTGCAGGGGCCCTACCAGGAGTACCAGGGAGCCGGGGGACCCACGGGCATCCCATCTGTAATACAGGCACACTTCAAATAACGAGAACCCACAACCACTGCCTGTGACGACAGACAGCACCCCAGTACAATCCCAGAATACACAGTCCTACTGAATGAAGTGTCTGCTCCACTCGGCAGGATAGAAACACAATAAGGGCTCCCAGAAGCCAAGGAGCTGGGGAAAGAAGCCATTACCTGTGGATTACGGTAAGACTTCTTTTGGAAAACCGCTTACACTCAAAAGACATAATGACAGCATTGGGATGGCGGATGGGAGGTAGGTGGGGACGTGGAGAAGGCAGCGGAGGTGCGGATAGATGGGTGGGGCCTTAGAGGAGGCCAGGAGATGACTGCTAAGCCCTAGATCCAGCAAATCAAACCTGCCATTTTCATCATCAGTAGGCCGTTTCACAAGAAAATACCCTGCTGGACAAATGGACTCCAAGAAAAGCATCCTCTGCAGCTTCGTTTGAGTAGAAGTGTTGCTAAGCAACTAAAACAAAAAAAAAACAGAACAGCCACAGCATTCTCAAGCAGCTCGTGTGAACTGGGAAGATCAGGAGCAGGGCAGCAGGCAGGTCTGAATGTCAGAGCTGGGGGGCTTGGGGGCTGGTTCCCCTGAGTAGTGCTGCCCCCAAAGCAGCAACAGTGTGAAGCAGGAGTAGGTCCCGGTGCGATCCGGCACGCTCAGGCCGCCATGCGACGCTACACTGAGTCACCGAGTGATTCATGCCGCGCTTGTATCACTCGCTGCTGACCTACGGGGCAGCTCCAATTACTAGCTGGGGGGGGGGGGGG